CTCCTCTCCTCTCCTCTCCTCTCCTCTCCTCTCCTCTCCTCTCCTTCCACTTTTTTCTTTCCCTCCCCCCCTTTTATTTTTCTTAAATTTTGATGAGTTCCGTTGTGAGAACAAGTATTTGAAGAAGTCTTTGAAGAACTCTAAGAAGGATGCTGAATATTCTATGAATATTCCATTTCTTGATTAAGCAACACCCGTGAAAACTGTCACATTTAGCAGAGACGTTCCACACATTCTCTTATTATCTCATCAAAGTACTTGGTGTCCCTCGTGCTATTTTGACATGCATCCACCTCCTGTACAGAGCACGCTGCAGAAGTGGCTGGGCTGAGGCAGGCTAACAGAAACACTCATCCCATCATGACACAGCTCATGAATTGTGAATGGGGCCGTGCACAAGTTCACCATGAGTGTGACTGTCACTGCCCTCCTCTAGCATAGCACAGCTCGTAGTCAGAAGAGGGCTATGTGGACTAATTCTGCACTCTCACCAGTCTTACGCTAGTGAGACCTCATTATAAATCCTCATGGTGTTCTCTAGTGATTAAATAAGCCTAGTTTGATATTTCTATGTAAAGCAAAGTATAAAGCTCTAGGTTTCCAATAACAAGAGTATTTCCATAGGTAGGAGGATGTTGCTTGGCCCACCCTCCAAGGCACTAGAAGCAGGTGATGTCAAAGCACCTGCAGATGGCTAGGGGTATTAACTTCAGTGGTTTTGATTCTTTACAAGCTCAGGCCAGCCACAGAGCCTATCTTGCATTGGCATGAGTTCTACATATGGGCAGGAATACATAAGATCAGGCCACAGCCTTCTTCAGGCTGGTAGACTAGGAAAAGTTTAAAAGTAGTGAAAACATACATAGTCTTTCTGGCATGCACCCGGGTCCTACAGACAAGGGATTTTCTTAGTCAGAAGCAGTGTCTTTCTGTTTAAAACCATTAATGAACCTTTTGCCATTGTGTTTGTCTCATGGCTTTGTGAATCTTTGTCTTTTTTGACTTCTACAGCAGTTGGTGTGAACAACTTCTACAGGGTAACTCTACATTGTGTGGAAAGTGGCTCGCTTTGTTTCAGACTGGCTTCTTTGTAATTTCTTTTGAAATTCCTCTGGTCATATGATCACTTTTTCCTTATGAGAAAAAGTGGACTACTCACTGTCTTATCCGCTCTCGTGATTATCTGGACTTCAGCTGACCTCCCTGTGTAATCTCCTCTCTGCTTAGAGGACCTGCTGTGCCTTCTCAGGAGTACCGATTGGTCACGGTTGTTTATTGTCCCCTTTAGCACAGTGACAGGTATTGCTATCAAGAAAAAACGTCAAAATGACAGCAATAACAACAAAAAACCTCTGAGAATTCCTTGATGCCATGCATAGAAAGTGAAATTCTATTTGCGTTCATGGTGCTCCATTGCAAAGCTGTGAGCATACAAAAATTCAGCTTGTGGGAAAGCTTCTAATTTCCTGTTTTTAAAACAGCTGATGAGGGAGGAGAGGGAAAAAGAATGAAGAGAACAGCTACATAAAAAAGAATGCTAGAAGACACAAACTCCAGGAATGGCTTATTCTTTTTTGGCCTGCTTGTTGAGACAAGTGGTAATGCAGAGTATAATGTACAGACTCCAGTAAATCATTCCTGTATGATAGGTTGTGATCAATGAGAATTTAATGAATTCATTTCAAAAAGAAGTCAGAAAAGAAAAACAGTACTTGTTTGAAAGAGTGCTTTACTCAAATAAATTGAGTCAATAAATATGCTATTTGTCATGCAGAGTCCAGTTAAAGTCTTGTTTGCTAACAAAAATGCTGTCATCACAGAGCCTAATAGAAGCAAACTATCTGGAACTATCCACTATAAATAGACAAATGCCATCTGAAAGCAGAAAACAATTGCAGCCGAACAAAGAGTTGTATTCTGCACACACTGACAAATGCAATAGGGTGGCCCCACCTCAAAAGCTACGGTGTTGTTTATTATTTTGCTTATGGTCTGATTTCCTATCTGGTGATATGCCAAATAATAATAATTTTAAAATAATATTTTTCTTCTGTGGAATGTGTTTTAATTGTTGCGTAGTGAAGATTTCTTTTGATAGAAGAAGCACACCACTTAAGTCACTATTGAATTTCAAAACATAGCTTCAGTGAACTTGAATGGATTTGTGCAGGCTGTTAGAACAGCGAAAAGCTTCATCCCTTTTCAAACAATTGTTGTATTAATTTTCACAGTTATCCATGTTATTTAGTGCAGATGCAAGAGGACTTTTTGTTCTGCTGCATTTTTCACACTTGTATGTTGTTCCTATAAGTTGAAGAGATGTGGCACTTCTCACTCGTTTTTAGTCTGTTGGGGATTGAAAATGTTAACAGTGAAGCTCCATCAACCCAACATGGTTAAAGCTCGCAGCTCCGGGTTAGATGTTCATATTGATACTGGATACAGTCAGCCTGGTTTTCAGATATGATGAATGGGCAACAGGGGCTTCACAGCGTCTTAGAAGCTTGGAGTGCTCTCATGAAGGTCCCAGGGCTTTGCTAGGCACATTTGGGCTTCCAGCATCCTGTGGATTGTAGGGTGTGGAGAAGAAGGAAATACTCAGAAGTTCTGCCACACATCAGGAAGATGGTTATTTTCTATCCCCAAAGGAAAATAAATGCTGAAAAATTGCATTGCAGAAGCCTAAGACAGAGATTATGAAGAACTTCTGCGTGATTTAAGAATCTGAACTTGACCCTTTGCTTTTTAAATTTGGAATAGAACAGCTGGGGCATTTTTAGAGTTTGCATCATGTGGCCCGAGATCGGTGGATTTAAATCTGCCCTGCAGTCATCTGCACATTGTTCATCCACTCCCAGAGCTGCATTCTCAGAAATGAGTTAGGAATCCAATCCCTGTGACTTTCAGTGAAACTTAAGCTTGTATGAATGTAAATTACTCTTTACATATGACTGAGGCTCCCAAGTGACTTAAAAACTCCTGAACAGTCCACAGTAATCAACAGAGTCTTTTTAGCTCTGATCACAGAGTGATTGCTAATTGAAATAACAGTTCAAATGTTTTGTTTTCCTTTATGTTCTACTGACCACGTCAGAATAGATGAAGAGTTTCCTGGTAATCAATAGCCTACAAGTTATTGCTTAGAGTGTTTGTTTTTCATTCTGATGGCTTAGTTCTTGCTTTGCTCCTGTCGCAAACCTTTGGTCCTTTTTGTTTCAGCTGTTTCCACTACTTGGAGAAAAGACCAGTATAGACAAAGCAGGATGAAAAGATGGCTGACTTCTTGTTACCACCGGGTACTAACAGCTTCCACCGGTTCACGCCCGAATCCTTGGCTGCTATTGAGAAGCGAATTGCAGAGAAGCTTGCGAGGAACGCGAAGCAGGAGTACAGAGAGCAGCTGGGCGAAGAGGAAAAACCTCAGCCTCAGTTTGATTTGCAAGCGTGCAAGAAGCTGCCTGATATCTATGGGACTGTTCCTCCAGAGCTTATTGGAGAGCCACTGGAGGACATTGACCCCTTCTACAATGATCGCAAGGTGAGCATCAGCAACGCGCTCTGTTTCTTAGCGTTTGCTGAACCATAGCATCTTTCTTTGTGTTGAGGGCTGTTGTGATTGTCTTCTTACAGTCAGTAAATTTTTTTTTTTCCCAAATTTTTGGCATGAGTAGGTCTCCCGAAAAACATGTGAGCAGTGAAGAGGGATAAAAATCATAATTATGACCTGAGTGTTTTTGAGTGACACTGATTATGAATATACATCATCTGAAAAGGCAGGGCACAGCGATAGCTGAAGGAAGCCAGAAGTTTTTATCTACTGTATCTTTCATCTTCATGAGATTTGACTCTTCATAGATCTGTTGGCCTTTTGAGTCCCTTAACTGAACTTGGATTTTGAGTCTTGGGTCTGAAGTAACGGGACTAAGCTGCTCGAGTGTCAGCTAGTGCTCATCACAAGGTGGGAAGCACCTCCACGGCCATTTTGAATGGCAGTGTTTTTTCTGCTGAGGAATGATTTAACTCCATTTAAGATTATCAAAACAGAGCTGAAAAGATACGTGAGTGGTTCATTCAGTGAGTGGTTCATTCTGGCACTTTGCAGAAGAGTAAGCTTCATCCCAAAATGTGCATCACCTGATGAAGTATCGCGTGTAGGCTGGATCAAAGCCACAGCAGTGCAAACAGAATCTGTCAAAAGGCTGTTGACAGCAGAGCGGGGCTGGTTACTTACTACAGTTCATTCTCCTTTCCAAACATTTTGCAACATAGAGGATAAAATAAGACTTGGAACCTCGGATTATTTTTAGGAAGCTTCATTTTCTTTCAGGCACTGATGTTCTTGGTTTTGGGCTAAGCTACTTCCTATAAACAAAAGATTAATATGACCATGGTGATACTTCCATTAAAATGGTGTCAAACAACTACAGAATTAAAGTTAAATGGACATGAAGAAAGACCTGGAAAGCCAAGAATTAACTTACAGATATTTATGGCTCTGCTATCACCGTGCACAAGCATGGAGTACAGATTTGGAACTTTAGGATCACAGAGGTCTTAGTTTCAAGTGGGTGACTTGCTTAAGAGTTTATCTACTGAGTGGCCTGATCCTTTATCTGAATGAATATTAGTCCTTCCAGGCATGAGTGGGCATTTTCAGAGCTGTGTAATTGGGTCAGAATCCAGTTCATCTTTGCTTTGGATTTAAGATAACTCAGTATGTGTTTCCTGTCTCCACATTAATATGAACACAGTGACAGTGCCTCAGTGCTTGGGTTAGATCCTCTTGTGGAGCTGTGCCTCATGGAATCTTACAGGCATTAAGATTGGAAAAGAGCACTAAGTTCATCTAGTCTGACCACCAGTCCATCACCACCATAGCTTCTTGAAAGATTGAGAAATGTTGGCTGAGAGCAGTAACCTCCGCAAGGTAGGGAAGATGGAGTAACAGCACAGCAGTAGAGAAATGGCATAAAAGTCTCTCTAAAGCATTTTAGTCTCTATGCCATCATTCACTGTTGAAAAGCTAGTCCTATTATGGAGGTAGGACTAGGAAGGGGAAGTAAGAAGGGATCCTGTAGGCAGTGAAGAAAACAACTTCATGAAGTGAAAAACAATTTGGGGATTTGGGATGGAGTGAGGAAGAGGTTTGGGATATTGACAGGAGTTCTCTGGGAAAATGGGATGGTAAAAGCCTAATGTCAGTGCAAATATTGAATGTTCTTATTCTCTGTTTTCTTTTCCAGACATTTGTAGTACTGAACAAAGGGAAGACAATATTTCGATTTAGTGCCACTCCTGCCTTGTATATACTTAGTCCTTTCCATCCAGTCCGAAGAGCAGCAATTAAAATTTTGGTACATTCATATCCTTCCTGTTGATTTTCCTCCTAGTGTATTCTATAATATTATTTTTAAACACAGAAAGTGCAAAAGCATTTAATTTAATTAAGTTGTTTTAGATTTTTCTGATGCATTTGTTTGTATATACAGAAAAACTTGATTTTTTTCCCCTTGTTATATCACAATTTGAGCTATGACTGTGATTATATTATGGTACTGTGAGCCTCTCTTGAGAGTTTGATGAGATTTAGTTTTGAAAGGTGTGAAGTGTCTGACCATGGTTGGGAAAGAGTCAGAAGATGGAAGGAAAGTGGTGCAATACCTGAGGCAGGAAAGGAGCTGTGAGGCTGGAGTATGTCCAGGGAGATGTGCACTATGGAAGAGCTTTGCCACTGAGGGCTTAAGCAGTCTCTCCCATGAGACTCTGTGACCATATGAGACAAAATTTAATCTTGAATTGCCTCAGAATAATTTTTTTTCCTGAAAGAAAATATTTTCAAGCTTATTTTGTTGTTTTGTTAGTTTTCTTTTTTTTGTGCAACTTGCTACCCAGCTAGGAATGAGTCGTGTGCATGAGTGACCCAATAGTGATAATTCAAAGACTGTACATGGTGATGTGATGACTGTGTGGCATTTCAGTGATGGAAATCCCACAGCTGCAATGCCCATGTCTGTCAAAGAGAACTAACACTAAGCAAGTAGCCTTTTAGAATCACTCATCTGTTATCAAATTTTGTGGAAAAAAGCAGGGGAATAAACCAGATTCCAGAGATCCGTGCAGTGGGGAAAACATAAGAAGTGGGAATACAGGTTTCTAGCAAGAAGAGAAATAGTTAAAAGTGATACAATCGCAATATGGCAACAATAATTAAATGCAAAAATTGAGTATGTGATATCATCTAATGTGTTTTTACAATTATGAAGGAAAAACATAGCATTTTGCAGAGGAATTTGTTTCTGGGTCAGGTTGCAACAGTGCAGCAGACACTGCTGCATACCCAGAGCCTAACAGTGTTTACGAGGTATGGTTACACCAGCACAGCTTTGCTGAAGTTCTTGATTTCCACAGCTGCAGATAAGAGAAGAATATGAAAACTGAGATTCTTAGAAAAGGTCTGTGTAAATATCGGCTCCACGTCTGGAGGTTTGTTCTTTCTTCTCCCTTTCTTGCACACAGCCCATGAAGCCTCGAGGTCACAGGTGTGTGTAATACACAGAAATGACACGGCCTTGGTAGAAGTCAGCCATAAGAGAAGTGTGCAAGAAGTCTTTATCACATTTCTTCCAAGGACAAAGAGCACAAAGGAGTGAATTTCAAAGACCTATCAGGAGAAGAAATACGGGAGATAAGGAGTGTAACCTTTCAGGAGTGGAAGGCTGCAATCCTAACAGCCTTCTAGTTCCGGAAAGAGCCAGGTTATCGCCTTGTGTTGATAATGTCAGACAATCCAACAGCTCAGCCCTCAGCCAGCACGGGCAGGAGGCGGGAGCTTCAGTCCCAGCCTCTCCGTGCTGAGGTTCCTGCATTAGGCACTGTGTTGTTTTCTGTCGATAAAGGGCTGTTGAACCATCCCAAAGCACAAAGGGCAATTGGCTGAGCAGGAAGTCAATATCCCAGGCAGAAAGGAGCCTGAATCGGCAAGTACTCAAGCGAATAATATCACGGATATGAATCTGGGAACCAGATCTGTTGCCTTGCGTGAGTGTAATCAAGCAGTCTTTATTTCCCCTGGAGCAAGGCCAAAAAAGAGCATTAACAAATGGTACTCTGTCACGTAAGTGTCTGAAGCAACATCTTTAGTAGAGGCCATATTTCCTTTGCTTGTCACTTGAATGTACCTCGAAGGCCAACAGTAGAACAGAAGAGAGAGGACAGAATAAGATCATCCTCTATAGAAGCTGTGGGGGGTCACATTTCTTGGTTAAGTGGCTTTCTATGGAGTTCTTCCTCTGAGACTTTAGGCAGGATAGATGCTGTATGCTGACTGCTCATCCATCCAAACATAGTTACTCTTGTCATTCAGAAGCACACTCTTCCATGGGAAAGCATCCACAGGATAACAACCTCCAGTTAAGTAAATCGCTTCAGTTAACAGCATGGCCCTGAACCTCTTCCAGATATTTCCCTTCCTCTTCAGACTGTATGAGGTGCAGACAGATGCCCCAACAAGGCTCCGTCCCATTTCTGTCATAGAGGACATGGGTGGAGAAGGTCTGCCTCCCTTTGGTCTATAGCAAATGCAAAATAGAAGTAGTGGTTGAAAACTTTTTACCTTCTATTAGCTATTAGCATCTTTATTTACTAAGATTAAGTGGTAGCATTTCATTTATGCCTTATGCTTAAAAGGCTTCTATTTGTTGCTCTTGCCTGCAAGCCAAAAACAGCTCTGTGCTGTCCCTGGTTTCTCCAAGCAGAGCAGTTTACTGTTCTGTATAAAAATATCGCAATTACTAGTTCCTGATTTTTCTAGGTATTATAGATAGTTGGTCTCAATTTGTCACTGATTCAGAATAGGTTTTAGGCCAAAATTACCTTCCTCAGTGTTAGAATTATGGATTCTGTCCCATCTAAAAAAGTCTCCTTTTAGAATTCATAATTTGTGTTCACATTTTGTGATTGCAGCCTTTCTTCTATCTGATTTTATACATTTTCCTTGGTAGTAGAAAATGAGACCTTGTGAAGCACCAATTATGTGTACTATTGATTGGAACTAACCTTTGGTTGCCCATATTATATGTAATTTGGCAGTGATTACTTAAAGAGACACCAATGTTCAGCCTGCTAATTAACTATTATCCATCATAATGAAGTCTAGAATACAAGGTATGCAGTGTTTTGCTCAGTATTTTTGTGCTGGAAGATAAAATTTATAACTTTTAGGAATTCTTTATGCAGTCTGCATAAGATGCCATTCTGTAACTTCAGACTGGAAATAAATGTCAGATTCAATTTATTGCAGAAAGGATTCCTAATGTGTAGCTTATTATGTTGGATTTGTGGTCTGTAACAGAGTGTGCAACCCATGTACCCTTTTGAAGTGTGTTAGCTATGTGCATGATTCATGTCAGCTCATGGATCAGCAGATACTCGAAGTAATAGCAGCTGTAAGACAGGTGACAGACAATAGTGATAATACAGATTGCATCAATTTAATCTCCTTTACTTAGTCTTTTCAGAGTAGATAATGATCAACAACTTCTACTGTGTGAACAATTGTATTTGATTTCAGACAGGAATGCTAATTTTCCTTGTGTAAGAATTTCTGTGTTCACTTTCTAACAAACATCCGACTTCAGTGCATAACTAGCTAGAGTGATTCTTTCTTTTAAATTCTTTGCAGTTTTGAGCTTGGTCATGAAGCTCAGTTAGAACTGATAGATCATTTAATATCCCAAAGCTGACTCCTGACTGTATCCTCATGACTTCAAACTGTATCCTCATGAATATTCTCTTTGGTGTTCAAACAAGAAGGTGATGTCACCTTGGAAAAGCTCACTTTTAGATTGAGCTTACACTACGAGGAAGTAGGGATATATCCATCAGACTAGTGAGCCTAAATTGAGTGGTTGTAGAGAAATTGCTTTGCTTGGAATTGGAGGATAGTTCTTGTTTGGCATGGCCTGAAGATACCACTCTGCTAAATTATTATTGTTTTCATTGCTTTTCACTGTAGGTGATGCAATGAGTGTGATACAGCGTATTCAAGGCCAGTGCAGTTTACAACCTCATTGTGTTAACCAGGTAAACGACTCTCAGAGACACATCTCAAGCTGACTTAAATAAATAAGTCTGGATATCATCCATCTTTCCAGTCCTTCAGCAGGATTTGTCAGCTCCGTAAGTGGAAAATGTTTGTGAGATGAGCAGTCCCTCTGGGTTCAATTACTGCTCTCTGAATGGCACAGGGGAACATGCAGATTGGTTACTACCAATTTAATGTCACAGTGCCTTATGGGGCCCTTTGGAAAACGTTCCACTCTGTACTCAGGAGAGATTTGGGGTCTGTGACAGAACAGTTCTACTATTCTCAGAAAACTACCGATGGGATTGGTAAATGGATAAAACAAGGAAACAAGTAAACTTTTCTTTTGAAGAAGTCGAAAGAAGTTTACGTTTGGATATTGCTATCCTTCTCTGAGAAGAGTCCCAGGCTGTTGACTGGACTGTAGGATGTTTAACTTCGGTCCACTTAAACTCATTCCTTAAACTTTCTCTCCAGGAGCATTGGATGTACTTTTATGTACTTTTATATTTATGCAGGAGAACCCATCATGGTTACAAAGAGTAGCATGTGCTTTTAGCAGAGCAGATCAGTGAACTATGTTTTGAATTTCAGGAATTTGATTTAGGGTGCTCTTCTTTGTATTTATGGCCTCAACTTAGGCATTAATGTACAGACTATACACAAGGGAGGCTCATTCTAGCCTCCAGATAGGGAAGCTCATTCCTCAGCTGAAACACTCAGCTTTGCAGATCAAGACTGTGTATTTTCCAATGAGGTTTTCTGACCAAGCCTTGAAATTAATACTATGAAACTCATATTAGCTTTTGGTGAAATGCATACTGATCATGAGACCTCAGGCATGTTAGATTAGAGAGTTTGGATTTATAGCTTTGCCTGCTGCCTGAGAAAACTTTCAGGATGCAAAATAAGATCAGAATTTGCAGACACAGGTTTTTCTGTATATACTTACATGAGTCTAATCCTGCTTTTCATGCAAAGTTGTGCACCTATGCATTTTGTCATCTGACCAGCTGTAAATTTAAGGTATCATGTCTTCAGAACACTGCTGAGACGATGTGTTTGTTTACTCTGTAAAGCATGCTTAAAAGGTGAATGCAATGAAAAAAAAGCAGACAAGAGTCACTTTCTGTGTTTCTGTAATTACTTTTTTTCCTTATGCAATAGGAAACAAATGTCTACAGTGATTTTTTTAAATGCTGGAAATTATGAGTGAGTTGTTGAGTCTTATATGAAACGATAAAAATGTATGAAGTCTCTTAACAAATGCATTTTTTTTCCTTAATTCACCTATTTACATTGTTCAGTATGTTTATTATGTGCACTATTTTAACTAATTGTGTGTTCATGGCACAGTCAGAGACTCCATCATGGAATAAATATGTTGAGTAAGTATCCTGGGTGGCTTACAGCCGTCCCATCCTTATCTTGTGTCCTTCCTCTTCTGTTTGTTACGTTCTTTTCCTCTTGTTTGCTGTTGTCTCATTTCTTTCCAGTATCACTGACCATAGTATCTGTCCTGACAAAATGTTTTGCCAGGTGTTTCTTGCCTGTGAAAACTCCCTTAGTAAGTAAACTAACAATTTTCAGTCTTCCAAGCTCATACTTATTGCTAAATGTACCTGCTATGCTACATCAGAATGAAATCACTATGATGAGAACTCCATTTGAAACTGGCCAGCCTTCCATCGTTCCTATGCAAGAGATTCAACATTGGGCACATTAAAATAGGCTGATGGACTTTAATTATTCCAGAAAATACTTCCAGGACAAAGTTCTGTTCTTCAACTTGCATTGGAAACAAAAGTTTCTTCTGGACTGAGCATATCATGAATAGTGTTCCCCTGTAATCATTGGTAGGTGTTCATTATGAGGTAACGCTTTTGTGAGTATTCCTCTCTTTTAGCTTGTGAAATCATCAGAAAATAAAACAGCAAAGATGTCACTCAACGTTCTTTTTCCTTCTCTTCTAAAGTGAATTTTAAAAGGGCTTAGCGGGCTTCAGAAAGCCCATTTCATTTCCTTAAGTTGCTTTAAAATGCTCCTTTCAGAAAGAGATACCAGATGCACAAGCTAATCAACCTACAGTGCATTAAACAATTATTTTGGCTCATTGAACCAATCAGAACACACTTTTTATTTTTGACTGACATATGATAAACATGACCATCTGCTGTTAGATAGCCTTGTGGTTGGTCTGTGCAGGGCTGTGAGGAGAGGCAGCACATGCCCTTATTTCAGGTTTCACAGAATCGTGCAGGGGACGTCTTCTAGGCCATAAATTACTAATTATAGGCAGCTCTGAACCAAATATTTCATCTGATCACACTAACATCCTAGTCCCAGGATGTTTCATGTATTTCTGTACAGTGTTCCTGTACCCTCAAGTATGTCTGTGACTTTCCTTTTCCCCTGATGTTGTCCTTATTGAAAAAAATGTCACACCATACCACGTTAACGGTGTATGTAGATGAAATACAGACATCTCATCCATGTGTGTTGAAATTTGGTCAGTGGGTCTACAGCCAAGGACTTTGAAGTTTTGAAAGAAAATATCAGAGTGGTTGGTGTGTCTTCCTTAGACAGGAAAATATGAATGATGTTATCAGTGCGTTGAGCAGGGCATGCAAGAGGCGTAGAGCTGAAAAGCAAATGGAGTCATGCAGCATGGAGTGAATCCTTTTTCTTCCATATTTGCCCTTTTACTGTGTCCCCTCATACCTCTCAGCTTTTCCTCCTCAAATTAAGAGAGCAAAATGAAAAACGACTCCTTTTGAGGACTGTTCCAGAGGCACCCCTCCAGGGGATGCAGGAGTAACGCTGTGCAAATATTTGTCCTAGATCTGCCTTGAAAACAGAATAAATATTTTACATTTTTGAAAGAAAGAAAGAAAGGAAGGAAGGAAGAAAAAGAAAGAAAGAAAGAAAGAATTCCACTTACCCCCACTAAAAACTTTAAACAAACCCTGACTTGTATTGTTGAAGAGGCTGCTCAGTTGCTGGAGGACTTTGCCCGATCCGTTTAGAATTAGATGATGATTATACAATCAATTAAACCATCTGACATGCTGAAAAAATACAAGTGCTTTATCATTTTAATGAGCTTATGTACTGTTAAGTTTTTTTTTTTTTTTTTTTGCATGCGTTTTCTGCATGTATTACTGAATACACATGCTTAAAGAGACTCACAGGAGTGACCTATATTTGTAAGGCAAGAATAAAACTAAGAGCAATGAAGAGCTGGGTACAAGATACTGTCTAGGTGTGTGGTCATAAAGGAGGCGTGAGGAAGATTTTACATGCACTGCTGCATGTAAAAGCAGTCCTGCTTATCTCCTTTTTAAGGTGAAGCACACTGAGGTTTTACAGGATGTGTAACTAGCTGTGCTGTGTGACAGGAGGGCAGGAGGCCATCAGATTTGCCACTACTTGTATTTTTGCGCAGTTGCAAATCAAAGGAGTATACAACTAAGAGGAAACATTTCCTGCTTTTGAATAATGCATTTCTTTTGTTATTACCACCTTTAATTGCTTACACTTTTTTTTTTTTTTTTCCCCACCAGCTATTCCAGGTCTTGTTTGTTTCTCTGTTTTTGCTTATGTGATGATACCATTGTAGCTACTGATGTTTAGGAACTAAACAGACAACTAAACAGAAAGCTCATGCTAGTGTTTCCAGTGGAAGTATTAAGGCTTATGAAGTTTGTGTTCTGTGGGATTTAAAAAAAAAAATTATGTGTATATAGAGTTAGGATTAAGTAGATAGCAGCCTCACAAGAACTCTGCTTTGGTATCATCTACATCTTCATCTGGGGAAAAGGGGATTATCAGTGGTGGATGCTAAACATTTATTATTTGTATTGAAATAGGTCCTAGAATACCAAGTCCCTTTGGGCTGGATATCTCAGATAGAAACATATTATTAAAAGAGCTGATGTGTGCCCTGAAGTATGTCTCTGTTGGCAGTTAGAGCCCTGAGTGGATACCGATCTGAGTGTTGTAAGTCAGATGCGTTACTTTCCCCCACAGAGAATTTGCTAAATATTATTACAAGTAGAATCTTTATTGTGAAAGGTAAAGTGTGTGTGCTCTACCTAATATCAATGTGAAGAGGCTGTCAGTAATAAACAACTTGTATTCAGGGGACCCTTGTATCTCTTTTACTGTCAAACAGGTCAAAATTAGAACCTGCAGTGTTGGGACAGCGGTTGGTTTCCTCATTTCCAGTGATGACATACTGCTGTTTAATTCTGAGAGCTGATGTGATTTAAACAGATTGTGGAATTTTACAGGAAGGACACCACTTTTAGCTAAGAAAATGAAGGAGGCAACATTTTTTAAGTGCTGTCCTTCAAAACAGCCTGGGCGGGAAGAGATGAGAGGTATGAATGGAACAACCATTGTCCATCAAATATGAGAAACAGCAAGGAATGCTGCATAATCCTTTCTCCTTTCACTGGTGACTGCAGGCAGAGCTTTGGAAGTCCCATAGTGCAGCTTATCAGCATAGTATTCATGCCTTAATGAGTGAGAGTTCATCAAGGTACACCCTCTGGTGAAACTTATCTTCATCCTGTGGCTGTCATGAGCGCTTTCCCATTTCTTACATGTTCCTTGGTCCACACATGCTTGCAGGCAGCCCCAGTGCTTCAGCCATGACCTACATGGGCAAAACCAACAAGGTGGGCAGGAGTGTCTCCTGTGACAAGGGCTGGGCTGCGCGTGCCTCCACCATCTCTTCTCTCAACTGCTTGTTAATGCTGTTGCTTATCTCAGACACTTTATTCCCCAGGTACACTTTCACTGGCATTTACACTTTTGAGTCATTGATAAAAATATTGGCGAGAGGATTTTGCATGACAGAATTCACCTTCCTTCGAGATCCATGGAACTGGCTGGATTTCAGTGTTATTGTTATGGCGTAAGTAGCCCTTTTTATTTTTTGAGACAGTGATGAGCAATAGATATATATTTTTAAGTTGTGTAGCTGTTGCTTTTTGTTTATTTTTGTTTTCACTGAAGTTGTATTGAAAATGAGAAAATGCTGAAGTATTTTAAGATAGTCTTTGTTTTCCTGAGTGGTTTCAGAGCAAAATTTCTCAGTTCCATTCTGTCAGTACACCTGTCAGACTACTTTGGGGAAACTGATTACATTTGAGTTGAATGCCTAGGCCCATGATATTTGACTAGAATCAAAATTGGAAAAAACAAGTTTTAACCCAAACTTAGTTCAAACAGCAGAAAGGATCAGTGAAGTCAGTGGTGGTATGCCAGGATCAGGGCTAATATTCTTGGTAATGTTCAGCAGAAGGAAAGCATGAAGACTTGTAAAATCTATATAGACTTCGTTGGGAAGATTCCTGTTTATTTCACTAGGTCAGCCCAAGGCCACATCTTTGTATCTGTTACTGTATTACTACGGATTTGGCCAAACTGACATATGGCCATTGTGATAAGTGTTTCAAAATATGCAAGGCAGATGGGGAGGAGCTTTGGGATGCCAGTACACACTAGGTATTTTTCTCAGCTAAACCTTTCCTCAAGCCATGTAATTCTGCAGTGTTTAGAGGCAGGACAGAACAATCCAAAATGTCACTTCTCCTCTGTCTTATCCATCAGTATGTGAAGCAGGGAATTCCTATGCAGGACTCTGAGTTTGTCATTGCCTTTAGTGCATTGGTTTCCTGTGTTCTAGAGGAAGAAGGCTTTTGACATTAAGGTAGAAATGAGCAGAGAGAAAAAGGGCAAGATGAGCAATAACTTGCAGCCTTGACAGTGTATGTGCTCTACCTCATCTCAGTTTGGGAGCAAGTTGGGTTATCATCCTAACCAGCTCTGCCAAAATCCGCTGGGAGCATCTTGTTTTCTAAATTGAAATTTGTGTCTGAGCAGTCAGCACAGACAAGATCTGGATATTTCTTTCAAGCTTATAGAACTGGAAAGAAACAATTTTAGATTAGAAAAGAAGGAATGAGAGTTTGGGTACAGAAAGGGAAGAATTTGTACTCACTATTTGCAACTGCTTCCTTGAGCCTAAAGGCAGCAGTGAAAGAGCTAATGGTGACTGCAGTATGATCTTCATATGTACAATGAAACCTCCTTCCCAAGTATGCTGCAGATAGTGCAAAGCATTGGATACTGTTCTCAGTTCCAATAAGATTTACCCTTCATGTAAACCATGATTTGCAAGTGATTTAAAGTATGATTGAATTTGAAGTAAGGTTGTTATCTTTGCTTGTAGCTAGTGGTATTTCTGTATCTGGAAACAAAACCAGTATGGGGTGGAGAGCCTGATAAAAGGGCATGAAATTTAGAGGGACGAAAGGCTTTTGATCGAACAGGAAATATTATTTCATTGATGGGTGTTGCAGTGGAATGACTATCAGGTCCTGTAGAGTTACTGCAGAATAAGTTCCTACCTCCTTATTTTTGGGGCAGAAATAGCACAGTTAGGGTCGTGGACAGTAGCTTTTACCAGCTCATTAGAGATCAGTGCGCCAGAGGTTTTCACAGCTTTTCTCCCACCCTGTGCTAGCAGGCACAGCCATGCCTTCTGTGGCCATGGATGGATTCAGGAAAATTTAGGAGACTGCCCCTGATTAGATAACCGATTATCAGACAAGTGAGACTTTCTAGAACAGGAAAGGAATAGGTTGCTGTAGCTCTGAGTTGGAAAATACCCTGCCAAATTCTTAAAGACTCTAAACAATTCCCTTGCTAACTGGAAGACTTGGAATGGGAATTCCAGCTGCTTCTTGCTTCCCATGGTAGAGACACTGAGCTGCTGCAATTTCATCCAAGAAACTGATAAAATCTCTATTAGTTGAGTATTGTGAACATGCAGCAGAAGTGTTTGTCTAATATGCTTATTAATGTGTTTGTACAAATCTCTGGTCTGCAAAACCATACTCCCATGCCTTTGCTTCTCCCCTAATTTTACACCCTTGCACGTTGCAGAAGAGTCTGGGAAAGAAGTGCTGGGTACACCTGGGGAGGAATGACCAGATAGGTAAATGCCAGACTCCCCTGTAAAACTATGAAGAGGAGAAACAGTACTGCTCTTCCAGAACATAATGTAGGTTAGCAGCTATGGAAAGGGTGCTTTGTCCTCCTGCAGAGTCCTTTGCACAGAACTCACTTAAGCAGTCTTTGTCAGATAGCCAAGTGAGTTTTATCCTTGGCACATGAAAACAAATGCCTCAAAGAAGTAGAGTAGGTAAATGTAAATAGCCACATAATAGGGTCCAGAAAATACAGTGATGACTGTGGTTTTACTGCATACTGTTTTGGTGGAAATAATTTTGGAAACAGTGATAAAGCCAACTCATTCTGTAGCTGACCCTCCTGGGAGCGTTTTGCTCTGCTGTTGTATGGGTCTCCCTGATGTCCAGAATAGACATAACGGTGAATAGCTGGGATTGCTGTTTTAATCATAAATAGGCTTAATAGGTTTTCAGTTATATTTATCCAAAAGTCTTCTTCCATCAGCCATAGGGCATGGATTTGATGTACAAAATAAAATAAAGTTTTAAGCTTCTCTTGAAACCAGCATCTGCTTTAAGACACAGTAGAGCGCTGTACAATAAATAACCCAGTAGAAATATTTGCACTGATATTTCCCCATGTTGTTCTGTACATACTTCGTGGAAGTCATTACTAAAATTACTTAAGTACTCAAAGGTTTTATTTTGTTTTTTTTAAGAGCAGCAAAGCAATTCTTAATGTTTCCTACAATGCAAAAAATTTTGGTTAAACTATGCGATAATAAAATCTTCACAGTATTTGTTGCTGAACAGTCTGATAACAAATTTCAACCACAGTTTTAACGAATTGATGCCTGTTAGATTAGTTTAATATTTCAAGAAACATTTGCAATAATGTGTGCTATGAAAAACCTGGGACAAACGGCATCAAAGAGCAGCCAGAAAAGTGGAGTCAACTCTCATTCAGATGCGTTCACTCCTGCTATATGTGAATGCATTCTTCATTCAGACAAGTCTCGTACTCTATTGTATAATTCCAAATAACTGTGACTTAATTCTACAGGTATGTAGGAGAATTTGTGAATGTAGGCAGTGTTTCACCTCTTCGGACTTTCAGGGTATTGAGAGCTTTAAAAACTATTTCAGTAATCCCAGGTAAGAAGCCTCGATCCTTCTGTTTTGGCTCTCAGCTACAAGTGATTCTTTCTCTGTCTCTCTTTGTCCCCTTGACTGTTGTTTTTTGCTGGTGTTTTGTCATTGTCTGTGTGTGACTTTCCCTTGTTACAGATACATAACTGAATTTGTGGACCTGGGCAATGTCTCAGCCTTGCGAACGTTCAGAGTACTGCGGGCGCTGAAAACAATCTCAGTCATTTCAGGTGAAAACCAGGTTAAACACTCCGGCTGCCATTAAAGCCTACATGCCATTTCCAGTAGTAATCACAGTCAATACAAGTGACTTAACCATAGATACTGATCAGGAAATGGAGGAATGTAGGGAATGTGACCTGTCAATAGAATAGCTTTCTCCAGTACGTTTCCCAATACCATTTCTGTGGGCAGAAGGAATTAGAGTACTTCCAAAAGTACAGACCTCACTAAAATGAGTGCTGCTGGAAGACGGGCTGCATGCAGTGGCTCATGAATCGCAAACACAAAGTGCTCATTCATGAACTGTGAGAATGGCAACGAAACTCTTTTAAAGTCTTCAGATATTGATTTTAAAAATGGAAGGTGAATGACCTCAAGGTGTGTATTTGTGTTTAAGAGAACTTCCAAACTGGAATCCAAATCTGTGCTATGAGCTTCAAGACTGCAAGCACAGGTAGCCTGATTTGTCCTAGTGCTTGTCCACCTGCTTGTGATAGAAACAGTGCTTAAATTTCAGACCTTGCATAGATCAGAAAAGTTCTATCATTAATTTTGGTGGATTCAACATTTCACCAAATCACATTTTCTTACATATTAAAGACCATGATTCCAGCACAACTACCCCTCAACAATATAACAGTTTTCATATAGGTCTGGTGTTGAAAGAAGCTTATTTTCATTGCTTATGACCTATTTTACTTCTGTTTCTGAAAATAGTAGTTAATACTTTTTGTTTAGTAATTTATGCAGTCCAGTAAGGACTAAACGTGTTATGATAAATTCTTGCTGAGCATTATCTATGGACAGGTCTCATTCAGCCTCAGTGTTTAACATCTCCAACCTGCATGGCAAGGTAGAGAAGATAGCAAAAACCGTGCATGGTAGATCCTATTGGTGATAATCCTGAACAGATGCTGGCAATCACACATCAAAAATATGCATAGCATTGAGATTGCTCAGATTCTTGTGCACAGCTCTTTAGGATTAGAAAGGTTTGGCCATCTACTGTTTTATGCACACCTGAATTATCATAGAATCGTAGAATCAGTAAGGTTGGAAGAGACCTCCAAGATATTTAGTCCAACCATCCAACTACTGTCAGTATTGCCCACTGACCGTGTCTTCAATGCCACATCTCCATGGTTCTGGAACACTCCAGTGACAGTGACTGCACCATCTCCCTGGGCAGTCTGTGCCAGTGCATCACCACTTCTTCTGAGAAGAAATATTTCCCAATATCCAACCTGAACCCCCCAGGCATAACTTGAGGCCAACCCCTCTCTTCCTATCAAAATGTCACTCATGTATAAGAAAACAAATGTATGCAAAAGCCATGGCATAAACATCCAGGGACTAATCACCAACACTCACAAGTATGAAGTGGAAATGGGAATTCTGGAATTGAGAGATTAAAGAAATGTACGCATGGGTCCAAGGTTTACTACTTTTTAGTGAAAGTATAGGTCAAAATTTAGCTTTTAAAGAACAGAGCTGAACAGCAAGTTGAGCAGTTTTGTAGATCATGTGGGATGGTAATCAGAAATAAAAGCAGAGTTTCCTAACTTCCTTGGCAGGAAGGATTTGAAGGCTAACTTAGAGGGACAGCCTTCTCCAGGGGACACCTTTCACCTTCCATCTTGTCTCAATCTTGTGCTTCTTCAGAGCAAAGCCTGTCAATTTTGCTGAGTTACATACATAGCGATTTTCTGATGTTCTGCATCTTGCTTTATATAAAGTGATAAACAGTGACTGTTTTTTTGGTTGATGAGGAGAATAGAGATATTCAGAAAAGCTTTATTGTAAAGTTCACTAAAGCCTTTCAACGATAATGAATACAGAGTTTTCCATTTGTGGGTTAATAGAAAAAGAAGAAATATGAATGTTATTTATTAGAACGATACATAGCAACTCACATTTTCTTGTTTTCTTTCTTCCTATGGAATTATTCTTTTGATAACTGCATTTTTAGGTACTTGTAATTGAATTCTTTGCTGACATGGCTGCATAATGATATGCAAATAAAATATCTGGCCCTAAATTTTATTGTCAAGATTACCTAGGCTGTGAGCATGTTTAAATTATAGATGTTGAGAGCTACAAATTGCTAAGGATCAGTTAGCTGCCTGTAAAACGAGGGTATGCTTTTTCTTTTTTTGTGTGTGTGTGTGATTTTTTTAATAGATAGTTTCAAGGAACCAGTTCAATTTTGTTTTGGTCAAACATGTTAAAGATATGTCTACTATATGTCTGTGTCTAAATATATGTCTAACAAAGAAATATCGGGCATGATGCTGTGTTTACTTGGGTTTCAGTCTGATTTTTTGACAATGACACAGGCTTGTGCTAGAATGAAATATCATTCCACAGTGGGCTAAAAATGAAGAGGTAATGAATGCTGATATCTTTCGTAAGATTTTTGAGTGCATCTGCTATGGAGAACAGAAAAGGTGGGCTTTTTTTCTTCTTTTATGTCTTCAGAGAGAAGCACTGAAATGTACTCACATTGCAAATATCCGAGCTTTTCCTCAATAAAATTGATCACCCTTCTCTATCAGGTAGTTATGTCTGCACAAACGTACTTGGGCTCAGCATGCTCAGTGAAATTGCTTACCAAAAGTAGCCAAGTCCTCCACAGTGTAAGGCTTCTGTCCAGCAAAGCACTTAGAGGCTGGTTTTCAAAGGCATTCTGCTTCACTTGAAATCAATGAGTTTCAGTATTGACTCCAGGGGGAGTCGACAAAGCTAACAATTAGTGCTTTTAAAAATCTCACTTATCTTTAATGCCTTGCTCTAAGTGCGCAAGCAGGCATGGGGAGTTTTAGGGGATGTGCACTCATAGGATTTAAAATGATCTCCCAAACTTTGGGTCCACTCCCCACAGGGTTCGAGGGTGAGCTTAGCTCAACTCATTACTTTTACTTTTGCCCTAGGAGGAGGTTTCCAGATCCAGATTCGGCAACCTAAATGTTAGCATCTAGCATTAAGCTGTGCTTCCTGCTCTCTAGGCATCTGGGGCTGCATCTGCATGGTGTCATGCTGGCATCTCCTGACCCCATTCAGCCTCACCCTGTCTTGGTGCATTACCAGTGAGAGGTTGGGTCAGTGCCTTACCCTCTTTGGCTGCCTTTAATATACCTGAGGACCCTCTAGGATCCTCTCAGTTTTCCCTTTTCACACTAAGCACACCCATTTCATTCTGTTTTCCAGTTTCCCATGGTATCAGGGAAGATGAGCTTTGTACAGTAGCTGATAAGCTGTTTATCTAGACTCATTGCATAAAAATGTTTTTAATTTCTTCCTATAGCCTTTATGTTCAGGTTCTTAGAAATAGCAAACATTCTCTGCTTGGGAATGTAAAACCTTTAACTCTCACTGATTTTATTTATTAATTAGCATCTTGTTCATTGCCATGGCAACCAGATTCATTTATTTTCCTTCTAGATAGGCTGTAGGACAACCCACTGAAGTTTCCCCCAACCAGCGTATCCAAATCCCAGTGTACTCAACAGGAACATTTCCTGTGATTTGGAGGTCTCTAATTATTGATCTGCATGCAAATCACCAATGTGTTTGTGATAATTAATAACTGAGGTAATTCACAGACCTCAGGTATACCCTTCAATGGCCCCTCAACAAGAGCCTCAAAATGGAGGTCATTGTGGACATCACTATTTTGTGACGTGCCTGTATCCAGAGAAGCTCTTCTGCTCTTTCTAGAACAGTCGTGTACTTCACAGACATTTCACACAAAATGACAGAATACAGGCGAAAGGTGACCTCACAGAAAATTGGGCCAAGGCACTTCGGGGCCTGATCCAGCTCCCATTTGATTTAGTGTGAGTCTAAGGGCTATAAATAGTGCTGTGAATGTTATCCAGTACTTTACTGTTAGCCAGAACACAGAGATTGGAGTGAAAGAATTAAGGCTGCGTGGAGGAGTCTGACCCTTGATCACTGTTTGAATCTCACTGAAGTTCCCCCACAGAAAGACAGATTTCATCCTTACAATGGGCAAATCACATGGCTCAGGGAGAAGCTACTTGAGAAATACATGACATATTTGCATCTTCCTCAGAGACTGGCCTGACAGTCACATTTTCATGCAGAGATGGTCTACAGAAATGCTGACAGCCTTTCAAGTTTGCCAGCATGGTATTAAACTCTCTGCTGCTCCATGTGTCAGTGGCTAATGACAAAATACGTTCATCATGGCTGGTGACAAGGGATGGTAATTGAGAGCAAGCTCTTCTCTCCGTATGCGTACATGACTCATGCAGACATGTACAAGGCACGTGCTCATCTTCAAGAGGAGAAGGATAGGAGGAGGCATTCACAGCCCAAGGCCACTCTGGTTTTGTTTTTGCTTTTTCTCCCCACTGATTTTCAGACTGTGCATGGAAGTGTCCGATGTTCTATAGGTGATTGCCAACATCTGGTATGGATGTCATTATGCTAATACTTTCTCACATCTCGAAGGAGGAATGGATGGTGCTGTGAGATCTTGCCATTTCTCATTGTTCGGTGTTGCTTGCGTTTTCTATGGTTTCTGATTTGCATTTGGAAACTGATTATTTGATTAACTTCTGAATGTATTAATTTCTACCAGTATTAACAGGAATGCTTGGGCCAAATCCTTCTTGCTTTCTGTAGGTGTCAGTCTGCCTGTACAGCCCTCATCCCACTGACTTTGGGTGCTTCGATGTTACTCATGTCATGCAAGCAGGATTTGGCCCAGAAGCGTGGGAAGAATTCAGTGATTCAGGAGACCACTGTGCTGATTACTCCAGTAAGAGTAATCCACAGCCCCGTAGTCATTAACAGATGTAGATGTTACTCAGCTCTGGATCAGCTCCTCCGTTTTTGCTGCATGCTGCCTGGTTTGGTGTTTGACTTGCAAGAATTAAGTAAATGCCTTTAATGCCCCATAAATAGTATCTTCTATTAAGCTATATTGCAGTGCTCTCATTGGCAATATTTCAAAGGAGGATTATTTATCTAGAAGATTTAACAGCAGTTTAAATTTGAGTATATCTAGCATTGCTTTTACAAAATATGGGGATTGACTCAGAGCAATGTGGAACACCTGCAAGAGGTTCTGGCTGTCCTTATTTACCCTTTGCCCTTGAAAGGGCACAAAGTTGAAATGAATGGTGATTTAAACACTTTTCTTAGCAGTGGATTGTGCCAAGTGACTTGATGGATGCTATTTAACTTTATGGGCAAATTTTCTTTTTAAAGAATGAGAAAATAACACAATTAGACTGTAAGTATACAACTCCTGAAGTTTTTTTCTTGGAAAGTTGCAACGAAGTTTCAGAAGGCAGAGTTCAAGTTATTTTTAAGTGGTCTTTAATTACAGCAATTGAATTACTAAAGCATTTCCGAGCTGCTCAGAAGTCTATGTGCTGTTTAAAAAAATGAAATTATAAAACAAAATAAAGCACAAAGCCCTCCTGTAAAGAAATTATTGGATATCTGCGAGGAATGAGCTTATAAAGCAAACAGCATAGGAATATTCTTCTATTTGAAAAACCTGTAAGTAAACTGAGAAAAGCATGTTACATGAAATGACCTTGAAATTAACAATAACTGGGTCTGCATTTGAAAACAGTCTGTCTTTACTGGTGACTAGTGTTTTGTAGATTATTGTTTCCCAATATTATCCCTATTTACATTAGTTCTCCCATTGTCTTTGCTAATGTGAATAAGATTAATTAGTGTACTTGAGGGATACAAATGCAGGCCCCAAGCTGGTATTTGTATTACAAGCAAACAAATGTACTGCAGGGATTTCACAGAGGGCACTGAAGTGAAAGAATTTGTGGCTTGGCCATTTTCCCTTTTTTAAAGCTCAGTTTGTGTTCAGATTTCCTGTTTCACCAGTTTCAGGGAAGAAGCATCTGTGTGTTTAAAGGACAGCTAACACTGAAAGTTACAGAGAAAATGTCATAATATTGGAGTATGAAAAAAAAATAAAATTGTATCTATAAATTGTATTTCTTTTTCCCCACCCTGTTTGTTTCATAGCAATCTGGGTAAGTGTGAGACACAGGGAAGCCCTTTAGAATTGCACTACAACTAAAACATAAAGTTCACTCAAGACTAGATTAATGTAAAAGCCGTGCTTTTCATTAACAAATCAAAATTGGTCATCAAACCTAGAAATGAACTCAAAAAGTTCAGAGCTAACCTTTATCTAAATACCTATCTAGATACTTAATCAAAATACAGAACTGACTTCATCTTCAAAATCTGTTTCTGACAAGGAGTGCAGATCCCATGAATATCCAGCTTTTGCCTGATATTTGTACTACAATATGTTTTGCCTTATTTTTATACAGAGGAACTTTTGAGCCTTTTCCTTTTGTTCTTATGCCACAAACTATCCTTCAAGAAGTAAACAGAGAATTTAGTGATGATATCCAGCCCCACATCAGATTCAGTCCCATTTGGCTGGAAGACTTTTATAGTCATTAATATCATTCATGGGTTAACCTAGTGGCAATGCTTTATGCAGGACTTGCAGTATTTTAGGCTGCTGAATTCAAGGATATCTAGCAGCTTATCCTCCTTTAGGAATCTATGATTTCCCATTTACTTTATCTACAGAATTTTAAGCAAGACCAAAAGTGCACTTTGCCTTCCTACATACCCTCAAGTACGTTTTTTACATTATTTTAAATTATAAAGCCCTAACTCAGCCTTCATTACTGCCGAACTCTTGGGGTGGAATTCCAGGGAACTGAAATTTAATGCGTATGTTCATATTCAATGAGCAATTCTACATGTTTCTGAGTATTGCCTAGGAGAATTCCTCATGTTTCCTCTTTGCATTTTCTATTTTTCCATTTCACTCAATTCTTTTACTGCTGCCATACTAGTAAAGCTGATTATCAGAAGCACTGATTACTACTTATTGAGTATTGATTAATTACAGGTAGTAAAAAACAACAAATCTGCTTCCTTTGAGCAGTTGGTATTAATCCAACTACAGGAGACACTCTATAGAAGGGTTTATAGAAGGGGTTTTGTTGTCTTGATGTCATGTTCAACCAGCTCAGATATTGCTGATCTTCTTAACAAGCAAACAGTGCTCTTTGGGAAAACAGTATAATTACTTATGTCTATATACTTACAGGATAATAATATGAATCTAGTGTTATAGGATGAAATAACACTGAAACAGAAGACAGTTTGTGTTACTAAAACCTTTGGTGATTATAAGAAGATGATTTATCTCCATTAGTGTATTATAAAATGATTAACTTTGCCCAGGTATTACTGGAATCTCAGGTTATTCCACACAGTTTCCACTGGATTTACTTGGTTGTCCATATTATTTGGTTTTCTTCTAATCCCAAATTTTTGTTGTCTTAAGCAAATGAATTGAAGGGAGAGGAATTACTCATGTGAGAAAAGTGAACAAGATTTGGCACTAAAAAATGTTAAATAATAAGGCAACATTTCCATACCTCTTTATCTGTTGAAGTGAGAGATAAAGTTATCAATCACCTCAGTGGTTAAAAGTAATTAATATTCTCAAAAGTCAGTGGGATTTAGGCTTTACAGTCTTTACTGCAGCTCCATGAATATATAAATGACTTTCTATATTTTCTTTAACCACGGTTATTTTTGTTTCTCATTGTTCCTCCATCCAGTTCTTTCCATTCATTTTTTAGCAAGTGTGTGTAAGGGCAACACCAAGACTTTTGTCCAGATGATAGTAGGCCAAACTGAATGTTCATGGTGATCACTTGTCTCCTGTTTCCATTGTCAAATTACAAACATGTAATAGGAATCCTTCCAATTTTCCCTTCTATCCAGATTTTCATCAGAACAAGTATCTGCACTTATCTTTCAGCGTCTCAATCCATAAACTCTTGGCTTTTATCTCCCTAGGACTGAAGACCATTGTAGGTGCACTAATCCAGTCTGTTAAGAAACTTGCTGATGTGATGATCCTGACCGTTTTCTGCTTGAGTGTCTTTGCCCTCATAGGCCTCCAGCTCTTTATGGGCAACTTGCGACACAAGTGTGTGAGAGACTACACCCAGTTTAACTTCACCAATGGCACGTTGTACTTGGATGGCAGGACATGGAACAGCTCAGAGGAGTTTCTTAATGATCCAGGTAAATTCTTTTCTTTACCTTGTTTATTTGTTTATCTATTATCACACTGGTCAGTATTGATTGGTACAACAGATGTGACTACTCCATCTTCACTACGCTGATGTGGTTTGGAAAGATTGGGTAGTGTTTTCTGTTGTGCCTTCACAGTTCATGCTGAAACTTTTCCTAGTGCTTTCCTAATACAGACCGAGCACCTTGTCACCTCACCAATGATTTTCACAGCTTTAGTGTATCTCCAAAATTTCAGCTCTGTAGGTCTCTTCTGCATGCTGTTCCTCTAAGGTCATTTACAGCTGAAGCATCTTATGGCAAAACTTGAAACTTTGAATTAAAAATCTTAAAAATCTAACAGCAAAGCTGAGCATTTATTACACTGAAAAATCCCAGGAGCATTTTTTTAAGGAAATCTCCTGTATTAGGGTCTTAACTCATTATCTGTGTTGGACCATCCTACAGTATCTGGTGCTCTGATGTTTATTATCAAAAGACTTGTTTTCTAGGCCAAAGCAATTTTTAATACTATACAGTCTGCTAGACTTTGAGTTACAATGAAATAGGTCCACTGAACTCATTTATTAACATTATAAAAAAAAACAAAACAGAAACACATTTCATGTAAATAAACTTCAGAATGTAAACAGGGAACCCAGCAATTAGCTGGGCTTGCTGTAAAACCCTCATAAACACAAGACTATTCCCAGTGACTGCAGTGGACATTTGCTCACATCTGATAACATTAAATGATACTCTCAAGAGAAGGAAGCAACCAGACCAGTGTGCCTTGCTGGGAGCTGATCAGTGACTTTTGGTATTTTATTTATTTTGGGAAGAATCAACCACATAGTATGCTCATTAACTGAAAATTTGATTGGTGGGAAGTAACATAGAGTCATAGGGTACCTCTGCTCTGAATGTAGGGACCCAACAGTCCTCATCTCTCTACCCCGGCTGCTGGCACTGTATACCCCTGAGTCAGGCTTAGGGCAGTTGTTTGGGGTGATCCAGAGCTCTCTTGGACTAGAAAAAGGTTGCCACCAACCCAGACTTGCTTCTCAGCATTGTATGCCTCTTCACCCAGGTTATGTTTCTTCACCCAGGTCCAGGAACTGAGCCAGTGGCAGTCCCATCACTCCATGCTAGGGATTTCTGAGCTTTTTGCTCTGTTCCTTTCTCTGGAGTCTGAGCAGCCTTGGGAGAAGTGGTGTTTAAAAGCTTTAATTCAAAGATAAAAAGCTTTATATTTGTATTGTTAATGCATAATGTGGTTGACTGAGCATTAAGGAAGGGTATTCACAAAACTCTGGCTGAATGAGGGCCATCTTCAGAACTGACCTTGACTGTAAGGTTGTGTGTTGCCTCAGTGTCTCTAAACCAGAACCTCTTGCCAGCTCAAAGGGGAAAATACTAAATCACTATTAAAAGAGTACTAAAGCACTGTAGAGCTGTGCTGGCTGATAATGAAGTTGCTGACATCTCTTCCCAGCGATGCTCTCCATCTTCCAGCTCTGGTGTATTAAGGTACTTCCCAGCTCCTACACTCAGATATTTGGTCTGATTTTTGAGTGGTCCTGCATAGAGCCAGGAGTTCGACTTGATGATCCTTATGGGTCCCTTCCAACTTGGGATATTCTGTGATGATTCTGTGTAATGGAGCTCTGAAGATAATCCGGTTCTCTGAGGGTGGAAGAAGGATGTATGCAACACTGGTTGTCTCTAAAAAAATAAATACATTACTCTCAAGGCCTGCTGCAGCATAGCTTTAAATGGGAGGGATTCTACAGCTGCTCCAGCGTGCCTTAGACAAGTTTATTTGTGTGGTGCTGGTATGGGGAAGGTGAGGGATGGTCATTTAGTAAATCCAGCTGTGGTTAATATGGTCATGAAGCTATGAGTGTTATCACGAAAGTGGATTTACCTATTTCAAGGATTATCAACTTGGTGAGATGGTAGATTAAAGCAAATTAAGCTTTGACCATGTAGTATTAATAGTAAGCAATAGTATTGTCAATTAGTGTTTTCATGTTTTCATAATATTGGAAAATAAAAATGGAGTGCATTATGGCAATTGACTGTCAGTTAGAACAGATGGACAAGAAGTGTTTGAATAGTTGAAATATAGAGTCAGTACAGAAGGCCACTGAAGAAATAGAGTAAAAGTAGTTCTATAGGGAAAATGTACTGACCTCAAAATAAGAATAATGAAGTATTTTTTGAAAAGCTGAAGAAAGTGGCTCAGCAATTAGCCTAGGAAGAACAATATTAAGTAGGATTTTCATTAAATGTTGACTACTATGCTGAAGCAATTCAGAAATGGAAGGACTGGCTCATTTTGTAACTAGATGGAATAGTGCTTTATATTCCATTTTGCGTAAGCATTATGGTGAAATGAAGTGACTGTTTAACAGAGTAGTACTGACCACAATTTAATAACAGTCCAAATTTCAAGCACTTCAGGGAATTAAGCAATATATACAGTTAAATTAAAGTGTAGGCAGACCAAATTAAATAAAAAGCTGAATATATTAAGATACAGAGTAGTGTCACTGTTTATTCTGAGGATGAACTAGAGAACAAAATTGGTCAAACTGAGATAGCTAAGTTCATTCAAAGAGAACATAGACAATTAGAGAATAAACCATTGGAGAATTGAAACCCGGTGCAGCTGAGTCACTCATTTTGGAGAAGGAATAATAATAATAATAACAAAAACAAGAAACCACCAGAAAGGAGAAACCTGAGTACTATCAGAGGTTCATAATAAAACCTCTGAAATGCCAGATTTCAATGGCTATTCCAAGTGAAGGAAATGCCAGGCACCTTAGAAAAACAAGAGACAGAAGCCTTGTGACTGGGGATTCAATGGGAGAATTCACAGAGATTTATTTCATTCAGGTTCCCCAATTACTGAGTTCTAGAATACAAAAACGACATTGAATATTTTTATTTCCTCTATCAAGGAGAGGACTTTTTTGATGCTTGCCACTGAAAGCTTAACTCAGTGAGAGAAACTTCACCTGATCACGTGCTGATGGTTTCTCAGTTTAGGAACGGCGGTCATGGCAGGGTGGGACAACTGCTTTGTCCTCTTACTACCTACTCACAGCGAAGATGCAAGTCAAAAGTTTGCCTTTCAGTGGGCACATTTCATGATGAAGAGGAGGACTTTCCCATTCCTTTTACTAATTAAAGTGACTCTAAGTCTTCAAAATTATGCTTCCACCTCTGAAAAAAGGGCTTCTTTTGACTTTTCTTATTTGACCTTTCTTATTTTGACTTAACTTAAAAGAAGTTATTTGAGTCTAGTTTTGCTTCCAATCAGTGATGCTTAGTTTTGCAGAACCGGGAGAGGGAAAGAGGAAGATTATGGCAAAAGGAGTTCATCAAATCTTCCAGTTTCTTCCATAGCATTACTCTTTATATGAATGGAGTATGGGATACATGACAGTTGAACACAGATTAAGGCTAAGGATATCTTGATGTCAAATGCCAATGCTACGGTCTGCTCAGAATTAAAATAGAGATATAATTAATTCATCTGGGAAAATACTGGCTACTAGTAAGTGATTTTATTTTTCATATCTGCAGTTCTAGGTTTGCTAAAGGACTACAGAGACCCAAAGAGGATTATTTTTAGACATTAATAATAATGAACCTGATAATCTGAAGTTGTAGATGCAGCCTATATAATAAAAAAAAAAAACAAAGGGAAAAAAGTATATAATAGGGTAGTTTACATCCATGGCAATGGGAAAATTATGTGATCAGTATATTGATATCAAAATTATTGAGCTGCCAGTTACCCTTAGGAGGGCTAATGGTTCAGAAATGCCAGGTGACTGCAGAACTACGAGGTTAGTTCCAATGCCTGTAAAGATCTCTAGGAAATTAACCGAAAATAGCATGCTTAAAAGCCTTGGGTTGTGGTGTTAAAATTAAAGGCTTATTTCATGAAGTGAAGCTCTATGAATGCATGAGTCAGAGTGGACTGGAAGGTATATGAAGTCAGACATGTCACTGGTTTAGAGAGAGTAAAAGATGTACCAAAGGGTTGAATGTAGTTGAGTCTCCTGGCTGATGATTATAGAATTTTTAATGTAATTTATGTGGTCCATTACTAAAATGGATTATTGACTCATCAGTAAATAGTGAGTAGGAATCTCAGTTTAAATCGTGTGCGCTTTTGTAGACCAGGGCTCAGATTGAATACTGAACACAAATAAAATACTTAAGAAAAAAACAACCCTAAAAATGTAGTAAAAATATTATTAAAACATTCTTAAAGTGCTAGTCTCAAAACCCAGCATTTTCTTTTCGTTTAAACTGAATACCTTAACTGAGAGGCTCTGAATGTGCTATGTATGTTTTCTCTCTGAATTGGTATCTTATAAAGTAAAATAAAACACTGTTGTGCACAATGTAGGAATAACAACAATAACAATAATAGTACTGTTAAAGATTTATTAACCTCTTGGCAGGAGGAGTCACCCGCCATTTTTGCAGCTTAAAAATAGACTTTTCAAGGGTGCTATTTTTTTATTGCAGAGTACTTTCTGGCACTCATTTCATGACAGTGCTTTTCCTCTTTTTCTCCAGTCATACTGGAGGTCTGAGAAAATATATACATATATACAGTTTAACCCAGTGTCTATATTTTCACCTACAATTAGGCATCATATTTACTTTGAGTTCTTTGTTTAGGAATATGTATACATACGTTTAGTTTGTGTCTTTGTGAATTCCAAATGCATCTAATCAAGTAATAAGAATGATTTGGAGAAGTTTCTGAGGGAGCCTTTGGAGGAGCCTGTTCCATTTTCTATTTCTAACTCATAATAGACATTCTATGGAGGAGGTCCAACTAAACTAGCCATGTTAGATGCCTAAGGTTGAGAAATGTGGGAACTCTACATAGATAGCCTCTGTTTGGAGAGCAATTTGCTGAATGGTGATGTGCTACCCATCTGAAGGGGTCTCAGGCTTGAGGCTCTTGCATGAGGTGT